CACCCACATTAAGTGGTAATGTTTGAGGGAAATTCAAGCACTACCCAACAGAAAAGATGTACATCAGAAAATGATCTCCAAAAAAATTAATCAGGGTCAAATTTGATAACAACTCACTACCATGAACTTAGATTCTGCCGCAAACTAAATATCCTCATGTGATATGTCTTAATATATTAGCCGTAGTATTCAGAAACATGTCAGAAATCAAGCAAGTAGGTACATAACAGAACACATCATCTTCATATAATAGATGCAGTGGTCCTCCCACATTACTTGCCTTGGTCTCCACATTGTCCGAGCACTAGTCATTATCCTGGCAATCATTAGTTCTTTCTGTAAGATAATCCGATGCGCTGATTTAAAATAGATAGAGTCAAGTATTAATCAACCTTGCAGAATCAATGTGGCACATTGGACACATTATATATAAAGTGACTACTCCATAATCTATCAAAAAAAATTCCTAACATATCAGGTGGAATATTAAATACATAATGTTTAACACATGAGATATAGGGAGTTATAATCATGCTTTACACACCATGACACACTAGATACCCCGAGCTAAAGTAATTAGGAGTTAAAAAATCATCCCAACCTTCTGTAGAAGTGTGGCATATTAAGCACATTATTCTCATATAGCCTAATTTATGAGAAATAATCCTAATTTACTAGTTTAAATCATGTTCAACTCACCATCACATGTTTCCGCATAAAAGGAATTTATAGAACTTTTATGACAAACACGTGAATTTAATTGACAGATAAAAGAGAAAGTATCAGAGGCTGTGTCCAATTAAATGATATTAATTACTAAACTGAGCAGTTCTTGAATTTATTAGCCGTTGCAAATATGTGGTACATATTTGCTTTCACTAGTTGCCATACATTGTTCTGACAAGATGGCTATTATTATTGGTTCATCCTCAGAAACCTTCAAAGAACACGCTGCATGAGATAAGGGACAAAAGCCAGATTCATAAATAAGTAACAGTAAACCCTTCAAAACATGAAAATGGGAAGACAAAGCATTTCAGGCTTTGCTTCGTCTTCGGACTTCAAAGAAATTTCAAGAAAAACAGTTGAAAGGACAATGTGTTACATCATACTAAATATAAGTGTCTAATTGCAATGCCATTACTTGTATGTATGTATGTGTGTGTGTATGTGTGTGTGAAGCTTACAACCATTACCCTTTCAGAAATGTTTAATTTAAATATTTACTAAAGTATCTAACAACTAAAACATGCCCAAGTAACACAAATTTGGAAAAAGCAACACATAAAAGTTACCATAGATTCATAACTTAGCTTTGATGACCGAAACAAGCAAATCATCATGCCCAGTAACAGATTTAAGAAGAAGAATTGTAAACCTCATGGTATTAGATAACTTTAGATCAATAAAATTCCTCTTTATTATATTCTCTTCATGGATTCAAAGTTCTTCATAGATTCGAAGATCATTCTTTGCAGATTCAAAGAATAACCATTGGTGGATTTCAAGATTTATTACTTCCATGCCACATCTTAATTCTTTGAGGCTTGTATCGTAAGCAACTAATGAGGCAAAACTTGGGACATATCACATCTAAGATTATATCAAATGAAGTGTTGATAGCTATATAGACCTATTTTCAAGGAAAAAATGTCATGAGCATCATGTAGGTACACACTTGAGCCTTTATTGTCACCTTCAAGAGAAATGAGGGGAACATAATTGTACAATGAGATAATATTTTGTAACACTTCGCATATTTTCCGTATCAAAAAGATAGGATTTCAAATGAGACCCATATGGCTACTTTAAGGATTATACCTTATTACTGTTAGTCTGTTACTGAAAGTCTACTAAATGAATAATTATGTTCCATTTGCACATCAATGGATAAATCATGCATAGAGAAGCAAAAGAAAATGAATTTCCCTTTTCCCCAGTCTATTACACATTGTTAATTCGAGCTCTCATTAGTAGGAGTAAGCGTTAATCGGTCCAAACTAGTTAAACCAACCAAATTCCCAAATTTGACACAGTTCAAGTTTACGATTTTTATGATCGATTCGTGTTGCGAAAAAATTCAACCTACAAAGTAGTTGTGTTCCCTCTAACCAACATTTCAATAGCAAGAAAGACAGAGTCCTACTTAAACTATTAGTTAGCTGTGCCGATAAAACTACTTCTACCACTAAGTTGGCCTTCGTCTTAAAGCAATTGTCAAGAAAAGCTTCAATATGCTTCTAAGGGAGAAAAAATTGCAAGAAGAAAACTGGGATTACGTAGAGAGGCTATGTAATTGCCCAAATACATACCATACACACATTCATAAATGCTGATTGCTCGTGCCAGTAGGAGGCAAATTCATAAATGCTGATTCCGTCGTCGTGAATTATCTCTTCTTTTGTTTCTTTTACTTAGAGAGATTGTACAGGAATCTTGTGGTGTTATTTGGGATTGAGTGATTGAGAGATCTCCACTTTGTATTCCTCACTATTTAGTAAAGCTTTTCACCTCCTTCACCCGTAGGCGTAGGCTACAAGCCGAACCACGTATATCTTTGTGTTCGTGTGTTCTTGATATTTTTTGTGCTCTCGTGGCGTAGGCTACAAGCCGAACCACGTATATCTTTGTGTTCGTGTGTTCTTGATATTTTTTGTGCTCTCGTGTGATTGATATTAGCTTACGTATATCTTTGTGTTCGTGTGTTCTTGATATTTTTTGTGCTCTCGTGTGATTGATATTAGCTTATCCTTCGGAGTTTGTCATAACATATCTGACCAAAGAAGCTTACACTATAGCTTCATTTGCAATCTCTATCAATAACTGTGTCCTGGATCATTGAAGCATTCCCTCAAAACATTTATCGGACTTACTTCTTTGCCTGAAGGTTGAAGCCTACTAGGTGGCATTATTTCGGCAAGAGGTTGAGAATCGAGTTACACATTATAACAGAGTAAATTATGATTTGATGGATCTTTTTGAAGAATCTTCATACTTTATTGGCTAGTGCAAACTCATGTTTATAATGTATTCCATGGAACAGACATTTCCATGAAAATATAAACTAAATTGTACTACTGCTTTCAACAAAACGTTTCAATCAAAAAACTCTTTGAATATGAAGAGAGAAATTACTTAGACTGACAAGTAAATTTAACAACAATATATACCATGCTCACGTCCACAAAAACGCCGTCGATTTCCTTTGGCAAAATATATGACCAGAGAGGCAGCGTTTGGAATCTGTCAGCCGTTTCTGGGTCAGTGAGGCATTTTCTCAAACATTTGCCAGGCTCACTTTATAACCCCAAAAGGTATGCAGCGAAGCCCAAGGGACAAAACCGAGATTGCAGCCTTCAACCCTACATATGGCAATAATTTGAATAATTAAACCAAAAATTAAGAGTTGTTACCTCCTAAATTGTATATGTTTTAAAAATGAGCGTTGTTACAGGGACCCAAAATATGAGACCAATAGAGTAGACACGTGAGGTGTCCCTTCTCTATTGCATAGTGCGCTGACATGACCAACTCATTATGAAATAGAGAATGGACACCTCATTTGTCCCCTTCTTTGGTCCCATATTTTAGATCCTTAAAGACATTTTTCTTTAAAAATTACTTTCATCACATTGTAATTGTGATTTCCTCTTGCTCAGCATGTGACATCGGCACTACTTCAGGGGTTAAAGAAAAAAAACGTCAATGATTTAATAAGAATAAAAAAAGTTTATAGAGCCGTATGCACAAAACCCCTCAAAGTTAAAAGGGAGTTTATGGAATAAAATAGTTAAGGGGGTAACCTGCAAAATCCCCCATAGATTTTTGCCCCACTGAAATTTACCTCATAATCAAAATTTGCATTGTCTTACGCCCTTAAACTGACATCCGAGCCTGTCATCGGCCGAAAACCGGTCCATGAAAAAAGAAGACAAAATCAGGGGAAAATGTGAACCAGAAGTATTATGTAAAACATTGAACCCTTTGTTATTTATTATGTTGTTTTTATGCTAATACATTTGTATTTCCTTCATGGAGATCTCATCTTGCACATCATTCTAATTTAGGAACCACCGATTTCGCCGACAACTGCAGAAGAGAGCGTTTAAAACTTTAGTCATGTTGGTGAGGAAGATAAATGAAATACTGACCATATCACACTAATTGGGACCGGTGGCGTGGCTACGAGATGCACAATGATTAAAATGAATATTTTCCTTAATATTAATTAAATTTTTAGAAGTGAAAAACAAATAGTTATTTAGAGAAGTGGGGTTTTAAAGATGAATAAAATTTAAGGTAATTTATTTCCTTATAAGTCTCATGAGAAATTATCAAAATAATAGTTGAGATATAAAATTGACGAGTTTTGTTGAAGAAATTGATTTAGTAAATGTTTCCTTTAAGAAATCTTTACCTTATTAGAAGATAGTAATTTTTTGTTCAAGTTTGTATGAATTGACTTATCTCCAAAATTTGTTATAGACACATGTATATATATATACTAGGATTTATGCACGTGATTAAATATTATGATTAAGTATTTTTGACTTGTTTCTTTACTAAAATTTATTTCTCAGTTCTACTTTGATTGTTTTTCTTACTTATATTTTCAAACTTTACTATTGTGATTATTTTTTTAATGTTTGTTTGAATGGGCTACACCAAATTTAAAATTTTTATGTAATAATTAAATTGACAAGAAATAACTATAATCTAAACCTAATTTGAATTTTCGCATTATTTAGATCGGCATGAAACCAAGCTTGATTTAAGAAGGTATAACGTTGTAAAAGTGAAAAACACTTGAAAAGATAATGTTATAAAAGAAGGATGAATAATTAAAGCCAATAAGACAAGATGATTAATTAAAAGTGGGATAGAATGAAACTAAAGAGAATATAAATTTTGTTGTTAATCACTGATAGACTTTAGAAAAAAAAATCATAAAATAAAGATTAATGCTAACTCTATTACACTTTTATATGATAAAATCATCCACATAACCATATTAAAAAATTAAAAGAGTTCTTGAAAATCACTTCTAAAGATTTCTGATTTTACTTAAAAAATTAAGTTATTTTTAAAAATATTAAATAATTTAAATTTGTGTTGTATTTATAAAGAGCCTTAATGGAGATGCTTTTGTTTTAGCAGCTTGTTTTGAATGAGCCATGCATATTAGCTTTAAAGTGTAATATTTTTTCTTTATCGTGTCATATGGATGTTTGCTTGGTTTGCTTATCTATCTATTATTTCTTCAATAAGTTGATATATTATTTCTGATCTGAAAAAAGATCAAACATACAATATAATTACTTGCTTGAAAATAATCTAATATAATAAAATAAGAAGAAAATAGATGAATGTGCTGTGAAAATTATTGATATTTCTTATTATGAAAAAATATAATATAATTAATTATTCTAAAATAATCTAATCTAATCTAATAAGAAGAAAATAAGAAAGGCAAATATATGTAGAAAGAGATAAAAATGCTACAAAAATTATTGTAGTTTCTTGACTTATAAATATTAGTATGTGATATTGCATATGAGAAGATAACAATTATAAATAGAGTTCTATTTAAATAATATAATAGTATAATTAAATTTTAAAACTAATTATGCAGTACCGTGAACTACTTGAATTTTAGTTGGTGAGAGATCGCCACGTTGTGTCCTCATATCGCAACGGTTTATTTTAATTTTCCTTTTTTTATAATTTTCAGAACGATTTTGTCTCTTTAATTTATTTGGTGGATTTTGCAAATACTCTATCCATATTATGTACATTTGTAGGACTGCCTTGTTCCGGGGTTCGACCTCTGGGGCGGACATTATTTGTCTCACTAGTTTGTTTGGTTTTTGCATATACACCATTCATCTTGTATATATTTATAAATTTGGCATTTAATAATTTTATTTAGGTTTACATTTAAATTTAAACTATATTCTTATATTCATACTATGTATATCTAATAAGAATTCATCAATTTGTCAACTTAATCTTATTTAATGGATTAATTTGAATTTCAAGGACATTTTTGTCTAGTAAAAGATTTTCCAGAACTCGTGTGTTTAAAGAGAGTATAATATGTATATGTATATGTATATGTATATGCATATGTGTGTGTGTGTGTGTGTGTGTGTGTGTGTGTGTGTGTGTGGCGTGTATAATATATATATATATATATATATATATACTATATTATATATCATTACTAATATATCATATATACTATATATATATATACATGAGAAAACATGGAGAAACTTGCGTACCAGTTTTCTTCTATTAAACTTGGTAGTGATCGTGACTGATCTGGTCCACACATTCTAGAACAATAAGATGCGGGTGATGTAAGTTTAGCTAAAAAGCCCCACTTTTTTTAAAAAATCTTCTCTCCCCCTCTTCATCTCCCCTCTCCATCCCCCTCTCTCCCGTCAATTTACTGCTCAATCTCTCTCTCCCCTCTCTCTCTATTCTCCCTCCCCCCCCCTCATTCACTTCACGCTCCCTCCCCACACCACCCCCCCATTCCAACACCCGCTCGCACGCCGCCGTTGCCGACCCCGCCTTCTCATCGGCGAGTCGAGACCTGTTGCTACCTTCCAACCCCGCTACGCCCCATCCCTCCTCCAACCAGACTGTCGGCCTTCTTCCTCACAACCTGCGACCACCTGTGGCCCCCGCCCTCCGCCGGCACTACCTCGCTCGTCGTTCGTGACCCTGCTCTCGCTGCATGACCCTCGCACTGCCCTCCTTCCAACACTCACCGCCGCCGCACCTGCCTTACACCGGCAGCTCGCCAAGATACGTCCTGCTCTTCATTCCAACGCAGCCATCTCACCTTCCAAAACAACAGCAGTCACGAATGGCGACGGGTTTAGAAGGAGGAGAAATTAGTGAATAAGTGGGCGCGAGCAGAGAGCGAGGATAGAGAGATTGAGTAGTAAATGAGGGGAGAGAGGAGGGGAGAGAGAGATTTTTTTTAAAAAAAGTGGGGTTTTTATGAGAAAAATAGGTTTGCTTGGTACCAAGCATAAATTTTTGTGCTTGGTAGTGAGATGACATATTCCCCTCCACTCATTAAAATCGGGGCCCACATTCACATGGATTAAGAAGTGATTGGGAATTAGAATGAGTAGATGAGAATAGGATACCTCACTACCAAGCACAAAATTTGTGTTTGGTACCAAGCATACACATTTCTCTCAGAACAATGGGTATGCTTGGTACCAAGCACAAGTTTTTATGCTTGGTAGTGAGGTAGCATATTACCCTCCACTCATTAAAATCGGGGACCATATTCACATGGGTTGGGGAGTGGTTGGGAATTGAAATGAGTGGATAAGAATACGACACCTCACTACCAAGCATAAATTTTATGCTTGGATATATATATATATATATATATTCCTCTATAATAATGGGAGGACCCAAGAATCACTATTTATGCTACAGTAATTTACTGTAGCATTTTTAAAGAAATATTAATGTTGTAGCATAGGGGGGATGCTGTAGCATTATTATAAAACTTATTGTAGCATTTTAAAATATATTACTATAGTAGAGGTGAGATGCTGTAGCATTTTAATTATTAGATTTACTATAATTTTTATTTAAACATTATAAAAAAAATTAATGCAATGGATTTTTGTGCTAAATTAAGATCAATATACTTAACTGGGATATCATAATTGATTTTCGCAGAAAAAAATATCAGCTGACATAATAATATCTTTAAGTAGAATAGTAAAAGAAAATAAGTTAAATTGATAATACATGTCATATTCTAAACTCTACTAATCCCAAGTTATAGTATAGAGTCAATGATGAATAACAATATCATTATGAACTATTGTTCTAGCAATAAAAAATAACATTTCTTATTACATTGAAAATAGAATTGCACTATACTTTTTAACATTATAAACTCATATTTTATAATAAACAATCTCAAAAGAAAACATAAAAAAAAGTATGATAAACATAATATATATGAGATCTCAAGCCTACATTATTTGATAGACTTAAAATAATAAAAAGATAAAAACTAAAGATTAATGGTAACTATAGTATAATTTTATGTAATAAAAACAATCACATAAGAATACAAAAATACTACAAATTTTGCATGAAAATTCCTTCTAAAAATTCCTAATTTTACTCAAAAGTAAGTTATAGTATAAAATGTTTAAAAAATATTATCATTTATTCTTTTTAGTTCATATTTTATTTGAGTCGAGATCAATCTTTCTCCATCTTTATCTTTTTATTAGGGGATTCTAGAGTAGCGCATTTATCATCTACATCAATTGTGATATCAAGTTGGAGTTGAATTTATTGAAATTAATCTCTTCAAATAATAAAGACCAACACCAAAATCAACCCATTTGTCTTCTGCTCTCCCCTCAAAAATCAGAACCCTAATCCATGAATTGAGTTTGTTCATAATGAAGAACAAAAGACATATCAAGAGACAAAAAAGAAAAAAAAGAAGGAAGTGAATAAGTATCGCTAGGTTTTTACATGATAAAGAGAAAAAGACAATATAAGAGTCCAAAAATTTATTAGGATGTACTTGGATCAATTAAATTATACTATTACTCATAATTGATATGCATAAGAGATAAAACATGTTGACAACCTTAAATTATAAAACAAGTTGT